CTCATATGCAAGCGTAAAATAGCCTACCAAATCACGGGGTACCTCATTAAGATAGCAAAATTAGGTAACAGAAGTGGGATTTCAGTCAGCCACTTTCTTCGGTTTAGTGTATATGCGAATTTTTTTCCTAAATTATGATTTTCTGCTCTGACGTTGTCTGTCACGTCAGGGCAGAGAAAAGCCCAGCGAAAATTTATCAAAATCGCACGACTTCTGGGCACAAATCCACGGTGAAAACTATAAGATAAGTGAAACTAAGTCAGAAATCTCTTCCATCCACCTTAATCAAGCCAAATGTAAGGTATACGACATGCTATTTTCCAAATTATGTATCTCTTCATGTGTATGTTGATGCTTTGCTGCTGACCAAAAGGGGCTTTTCTGTGAGCATTTCATTAAGTTGAATTCCTTGGTCATACATTTCACGATCATAGACAGGGAGGCACCTGAACTATGCGCAATCTACCACTTTCTTGCAATCCCATCATCGACATTAGACAAGGATGGGTTTCGGAGATTCCATTAGTAATTTCGAAGAAGTTGGCTGGATTCATGAATTGGTATCACTGGAAACTGAAGAAGTAATTGTAGGTTTAACACCGGCGTACCACCATGTTGAGCCAAAGCGTGGGATGCCTCATTAAGATAGGAAAATGAGGTAGAAGTGGCCACTTTTCTTGGTTTAGCATATTAGTGCTTTCACCTTGATCCGACGAGATCTGTAACACACCGGAGATCGGTGTTTCTCCTCGGATGGCCAGAAATATATTCACACCACAAAACAGCCTCCAATCCTAGACAACTCTGATACAGTTTCCGGTGAGGCCAATTTGTGATGCCATTCCGAACAGCTTTTCCTTCAAACTGAAATGTCAAACTCTTTCAAGTTTGGTTGCAGTAATGTGGTTGGTAAGGGTTCGGAGTGTAGTCTCGGAGTATGTTCTGAAGTTCTCATCTCATCCAGACATCTGCAGTGCTAATGCCAGGCGAAAAGGAAGATCATTCTAAATCCCTATGACTTCCTCAAACGAGAGATTTTCTGATCCACCAAACAATGAATCATTTGCTGAGCGCACTTTTATTTTTAACATGTGTGGTAAGAAGATTAACAGGAAGTTCCAACTAGAAGACGACTGCGAATTCCTCCTGGAAAAATGTCGATTGGCTTTGCTGGAATATTCTTGTTGACATTGCCCCCAAGGCAGTTTTCCTCGATTCTAGTGAAGACGTTCTAGGCTTTCGTCTGTTATGTGAAGGACATCATCAGAAGAAATTATCATTTAAACAACCATGTTTAAGCTAAAAAGTCAACAAAACTTTACGGCTTGTACCTAAATGTTGAAGATATACTCTAAACATATGCATTTTGATGAGGTATAAAGTGATTTGGTTAGTTAATATCATATTTCGATCTAGAAGCATATATGTGGTTATGCTTATGTGTGTGCTTATGTTCCTTTAAGGATTATATCAACAGTGATGGCAAAAAGTAATTATGATTAAATGTGATTGCGAACTACTCATTACTCATCACCCATTACTCACAATTTATTAATAATTATCAATTAATCTGACCTTTAAAGCATCATTCTGATTGCGAAATGCCAGACACACGCCTGAATAAGTTGATGAGCATTTTGTATGAGTGCAGGAGAGAATAAACTAAAGCAGGAAGTTTGCAGCGATTGATCAAAATAATGAGGACACACAAGGACGCATAATCATACATGGTTCATGACTGACATATGCATAGATTTAGGGTATATGCATACGGCATGTAGGGATAAGAAGTTAAATTTTCTTGACTGGATAGCTTGAATATGATTGTGAAAATGATGCTTTGCTTAGGTTATGTCCATCATATGAGAGATGAAACCTTAGCATTTTCCCATCGGAATGAAAGGAGACTGTCATAATGTCACATAAAAGCTAAACGTTGGCTAAAAAAGAGGAAAACATTTTCGTCTTCTGGTGGGATCGGCCTTTGAGTTTCATGATCAAATAATTTCAGACGAAATGAAAGACACAAAGACCCCTCGAAATCCAACTTTCCTTCGCCAAGAATCATTTCCCATCAAGGACGGTCTCTATTCGCATCTTGCAGTACACATATTATATGCAATTTTCTTTATGCAAATCATGCATCCGTGGCTCGGAAGAAAAAGGAGCATGTTGTGGAGAATTTGATTACGCATAAGAGACCATACTGAAGAGATTCGAAGGTCGATCTGACCAAAAGACGACGGCCGATTATTGTTGTACCGCAGCCGTTTGGCTCTAATACGATGTTCCGGTTGACATAGTCCATGAAACATTCTCCCTCGTTTAGGGTGAAAACGAACTGAGCTCTTGGCCAACATTATTGTAAAAATCTCATTTCTCGATCTAGTATTAACGTGAAACTTTTACAAGAATGAGTTCTAGCGCTGATGGTGTCCATCATATTATGAACGAAAGCTCAGCCAGTTTTCACCGGAAACGAATGAGGATGTCTCGTAGATGGCGTCAACCTCAACGTCGTAATGAAGCCAGATGGCTACAGTACAGCGAGAATCAGCCACTCTCTTTTGGTGATATCAGCCTTCGAAGTTCTGCTTCATGAACCATCATAGGAAACGAAAGTATCTCCAATAAAATGGGATTGTTTTTCGTCTTGAGCAGGGTTTCGACACTATCAACAAGTCAGATATATCAGCCGTGTTCACCCTATTTCATTCAAGGTGATCTACTCATATCATTGTGGGAAAATTCAGCTACCAGTCCTTCATCACCTTAAACAAAATGGGATGATCGCAATATGAGATTGACCGAATGAGTGTGAGGCGATTGGCCGTGTCAGCCAACAATTGCATATCGGAAATGGCTCACCTGACGAAGCCCGATCGTTCTCGTTGGTTGGATGAGGATCGTAAATATCGTGCGGCTGAGGCAATTCAACGCCAGATTCACTCGCCAGGCTGGGGGCATCTGCGGGGAGGATTTGTTTCTGCTCAACCGGACGTTGAGTGGCCACTGAAAAGGAAATGCAAAGACCGGCATCAGGCTCATGACAGTGCTTCTGAGCGCATGTCGAGCAATTCGGATAAGGCAACACGAGGCTACTTCTTCAGGGAATTTAGTCATTCTGGGCCGCTTAAGGCAATTCAAGCGACCTAGAATAACAAAGTTCTCATTCTTGAAGCAGAAAGACTGTCTCGAAAGCTAATTACATCGAAAATAATAATCTATTTAGCATAACCTAAAATAAAGTCAGATAAAGCTCGATTCATTAGAAACGTTTTCTGTACCCTTTACTCGTATACATCAACAAAAAAACGACTAAGACAATTCTGATGAGTCTAGGCTAGTTGGAAGGGAGGCATTGGCTTAACTTCTGGTTTAGAGCAGTAATTAATACTAAGTAGTCTGTTATCAGACTTAAAGAATTATGCCGTCATGGAAGGAATATTGTGGACTAGCAGGCATGCGGACTTTATGAAGCGAAAGAAGAATTCTCGAGATTTACAACGAAATAAACATTAAGTGTACAAATATCCGGTCA